ATATATATATATATATATATATATATATATATATATATATATGAAGGGCGGGCTAATGCCGGGGCGTGGCTAGGGAGGGACCAATCAGGGGCAGAGTAAATCTGGGCGGGGCCGTAGCAGGGAGGCAGGGGCGGGGCCAGATCAGGGGCGGGGCCAGGCCGGATTCTCCGCTGTCCCAGGTCCTGGAGCACTCCCGCCGGGCAGGTCTGGCTCCTGCCCTGCAGGCCCCTCCCTGGCTGGCCCGGCCCCAGGGTGAGCACGGCCGGACGCCCCAGGCTGGGCGGCCGCGGTCGGGCCTCGCCCCAGAAGCTGCGCTCCGGGCCAGGCGTCCGCGGGGGGCCCCCCGGCGGACTCAGCGCCATACTGACCCCGGGGCTGCCTCCCGGAAGGTTCCGAGGGCGAGGGCGAGGGTGAGCAGGGTTGCGGGGGCCTGCGAGTTCATACGTGTGTGCGTGCTTGTGTGTGTGTGCATATGCATATCAGTGTATGTACAAGTGTGTGGACGTTTGTGCTCACCAGGGGAATTGTGTGCGTGTGTGGAATTGGGTGGTGTGAGGTCCAGGGAGCTGAGTGTGTGGGCAAAGTTGCATGTGTGTGCAAGGGTGATCCTGTGTGGGAGGTAGGTCATGCATGTGTGTGTGTGCGTGTGTGTGTATGTGCGTGTGTGTGTGTGTGTGTGTGTGTGTGTGTGTGATAGAGACGTTGCATGTGAAATTTAGTGAAGACTGTGTATGTCAGGGTATCTTGGAGGAAAATGGAAGGGCAGGTGCAATGATACTTGGGGGGGGTCTATAGGGGACGTCTGTGGCAAGCTGTGGGGTGTGTGGGTGGATGGTGAATTGTAAGAGTGTAAGAGTTGCAAACGTGGGTTTCCATGTGAGTAGCAGTGAGGGGTGCTTCTGGGGGCCTCAGTGTGAAGGAGTGGAGACCAAGGAAAGTTTGGGAGTACTGATTGCTCTTGGAGGGATGAGTGTGGCCTGGAGCAGTGGGTAATGGTCAGGGCAGGTGTTTGGGGCATGGCCCAGAGAAATTTGGTGATCACATCAGCCCTCTTGCTTTGAGGGCTGGGGAGATGTGTGGGCAGAGCATGAGAGGGCGGGCTTGTCCCTTGTTTGGGGAAGCAGTGGGCAGGGTTATGCTTCAGCTGGAGAGAGCTGCTACCTTACCAGTCACCTGTCACCCAGGTTTTGTGCTCACTCCTGCCTGGGTGCTTCTGTTGGCGCTCCTGCGAGAACATGGTGCAGAAGTACCAGTCTCCTGTCCGCATCTACAAGTACCCATTTGAGCTGGTCATGGCGGTGAGTGACCCCTGGTTCTCCAGCCCCTTGTGTGATGGTGAGAGGGACACAGGAGGTCAGCTGTGCAAAAATGAGAGGGAGCCCCTCAGACTCCCAGATGAGAAGGAAACTGGCGAGTCCAGTTTCTCCCTAGTGACCCTCCACCCAGCCACCCCAGCCTTCTCCACATCTTCTGGAATCCTTGTCCACTGACCACATCACAAGATCTTTCTTTCTCCTTGCTGAAGCAGACTTGTTCTCTCATCTCAACCTCCTCTGACAGAAAACAAAAATACCTTGGGCCAAACCACTGCTGTCACTTTGTGTAATGCTAATAATAGTAATAGTAAATGTACTAATGATGATGAGAGTAGCAGCCATTCACTGAGGGTTTCCAGTGCCAAGTCTTTACATATATTGTTTCATTATTCTCATTTTACTTCCGCTAAACTGTAGCTTGGAGAGGTAAAGGTGGCCCCAAGTTCTGCGGCTGATAAGGGGTGGAGCCAGGGCACAGACCCATGCAGGGGAGTACTCTGGAGCCATGATTTTTTTTTTTTTGCCATATCTCCCTCCATCCTGCCCAAGGTCTTCCTTCAGTTTGCACATCCCCTCTCCTTTCCTTCAAAGAAGCTGACAGGGGGTGAGTGGGCAGCAGGGGTCCAGGAACAGCCATTTTCAGGGTAGCTTCAGACTGACTGTACGTAAATCAAGTAGCCACTCAGTCGAGGGACTAGAATTGGCTCCCAAGCTCTTAGCCTCCTGGATCAATAATCTTTGCACCATGGGGCAGATGCTGGAAACAAGCAGATGTAGCTTTCCTTCTTGGGGCCATCCTTCTGCCTTTCAGAGGTCCCCTTCCTTGGGAAAAAAAGAGCAATGCTATGGGGTTGTGTTAGGAGTGAATGAGATAATATGCAGTGCCTCTCACCCAGTGCCTGACACACAGTAGGCACTCACTAAATGTGGTTATCCCTGTTATCACACCACATGGTGTTATAAATGATTGTGTTGAAAGTGTAAGAAACATTGGAATCCCCCCACATCCTCCCTATCCTAACCTATTACTTAATTTCAGCTTTTGATCCAAGAACTTTCATATCAATTGGTACCTCCATGGATATGTGTCCCGACTGGTCTTATTCTACAAATCTACTTATATATGTGTTTATAGTCACATAATGGATTAAAATTTTTTTTTAACGTTTATTTATTATTGAGAGACAGATACAGAGCATGAGCAGGGGAGGGGTAGAGAGAGGGAGACAAGGAATCTGAAGCAGGCTCCAGGCTCTGAGCTGTCAGCACAGAGCCCGACATGGGGCTCAAACTCACAAACGTGAGATCATGACCTGAGCCGAAGTCAGTCACTTAACCAACTGAGCCACCCAAGCGCCTCCTTAATGGGTTTTGAAACATCACTGGAATCATTCATACATGTTGTGCTGTTATGTGCAGATGGTTCCAGGGCAAGAGGCAGGGGCTAGTATTGACTAGCTGGGTGACCTTGGGCAAATTATTTAACCTCTCTGAGCCTCCATTTCCCATCTGTAAAATGAGGAGTACCAATCCTGGTTTCCAAATCCTGGCACTGTGCATGGATTAAATGAGTCAATATACATAAAGCTCCCAATGCAAGGTCTGGTACAGACCAAATGCTGTTACTGTTATTGTTGCTGCTGCCTGTGGCTGTGTGACTTTCCCGTATTTGTAATGAGGGTCAGACACCAGGGGATGGCGAAGAGTCAGAAATGCTGGGTCCTTGCTACTGCTCTGCTATGCTCTGGCTGTGTGCTATTTAAAAGCCACTGAATGTATCTGAGCCTTGATTTCTTCATTCATGAAATGGGGATGGTTATACGCACTTCATAGGGTTTTCATGAGGATTAAAGATTTTATATATATATATATATATATATATATATATATAGGTGATAAATACATTTATATATATATTATAATGTGGAAGGAATAGGGGGGTGAGGGGCAGGTGCCCCATGCAGGTCTTGGTCCATACCAAATAGACAATAAATGGCAGCTAAATATAAATACTTGTCCTGTAAGGTTCCAGGCACCCTACTTAGTCTAAGACCCTAGGGTTCATTCATTCATTCATTCATTCACTCATTCATTTAAAAAAAGAGAGATACTATCCCAACCCTTTTGGGACAACCCACAGTCCAGGAACCTATGGTTCTCTACCATGAAGCTGAGACAAATAACTGTAAAATGGAAGACTAATCCTTTTTTTATAATTGCATGAGCTTAATAAATGTAAATTTAATTTAGCATATATATTTAGGATTCTCCAAAATATTTACAATCATTACACTTTAAAACATGCCCGCTAAAGGAGCACTGAAGGCTGTATTAATAAGGCTGGTAAAGTATTCACATTGAGTTTACTGGAGTATGTTAAGCATATTTTGTAAGCGTCCTGTTCCATAAATGGATACAGAACCTGTATCCTCTACCTGTTAACAGTCCCTAGATGTTGTTGCATAGAGGCTTGTGGGTACAGCAGGAAACAAGGTTTTCAGATATTCATTTTCTGTATCTGCATTAATTTAAGTTATTCGGGACAACCATGCCCATGTTTCCTTATCTTCCATACAATCCTTATTGGTGAAAGGGCCTCAAGGCTCTGCAATGTTAGCGACAAAGCCACTTTACCGACTGTTTACAAAACATCATTGTCCCCAAAATAGCTGCATAACTCAACATAACTTGCATGCTGTGTGGGCACAAAAGGGTTTTTCTGCACTTAATGTCCGTCTTTGTTTCTCAGCTAAACACTTGCTCTCAGTTTGGGTCAGATGCCAGGGAAGTTTTGGATGAACTCAGCTATTTTCACTGCATCCGAGTGACTAGATGGGCTGGCCTTTGGTTTTTCTGTTTAACAAAACTGACTTGAGAATTAAAACATTGCTTGTTTCAGAAGTCCACCAGCAACAAACACAAATGACTAAAACTGGGCTCAAGGAATTGGTCATAAAATAGCACCGAGGCAACATTTCCAGACCCAGATTAAACAATTAAAAAAAAATTTTTTTTTTCTCTTTCATCTCAAAAATGTAACTAATCCAGTGAATGGGCGTCTCTCTCCTTGGGCCAAATCCCCTGGCAGGAATTCTGTTTCTGAAGGGTGGGATTCCAGGGACCTTTGTTTTCTTCTTTCTTGACTGTGTTCTGTATTAATTTGGTTCAAAACAGTCAGCTCGTATTATCTTGGTAAACAGAGGGAAACAGTTAAGACAATGGAGGCAGCTGGTATAAGATTGGAGAGGGTCTTTGGTCCCTTTGTATGTGGGGTCCCTGAAGGTGGTGATGGGGTCTTTGTACATAGAACACAAAGGCCGTGTCTTGCACTTCGGACTGTGGTCACTTGAACATCGAAGGCCACTCTCTGGTCAGCCTACAGCCTGTTGTGAACGGTTTCTGGGTTCTGGCCTCTTCTCCCAGACGGATGGTTGCTAAGAGGCAGATCCATCATCTGGGTCCCTGCCCTAGTTTCACACCTGGAAAATGGAGGTCATAAAGGCTCCTGTTCCTCCTAGAGTTGAAGTGAGGATTGACTGAAGGGACAGGGATGCCCGGGCAGGGCCTGGCTCATTGTTAATGCTGGTGAAATATTGTTTAGGCTTATTGTTATTATTTATTGTTTTCATAGCTTTATTGAGCTATAACTCATATACCCATTTGAAACGTAAGGGTCAGTGGTTTTTAGGATTCATAGAGTTGTGTAACTATGACTACTGTCAGTTTTAAAACATTTTCATCGACCCAAAAAGAAACCCTGTACCCATCAGCAGTCCTCTCCGATCCCCACGCCCCAGCCCCTGACGACCACTAGTCTACTTTCTGTCTCTGTGGATTTGCCTGTTTGGGACATTTCCTATAGATGGAACCATACAACATATGGCCCTTGGTGACAGGCTTCTCTCATTGAGCATCATGTTTTCAAGGCTCATCCATGTTGTATCGTATCAGCACTTCATCCCTTTTTATGGCTGAATACTATTCCATTGCCTGGATAGACCATATTTGTTTATTCATTCATCATTGTTTCCTGTGTTGGTCTGTTATGAATAACACTGCTATGAACACAGATGCACAAGTTTTTCTGTGGATATATTCTTTCCAAAGAAATCCCTGCCATGAATTATAGTGATTATTTGGCAGGTTTAAGCAAATTTTATTTTTAAAATTTTATTTAACAAGCATGTTCACATCCCAGACACTGTTCTGAGCCCATCCAAATATTAAGTCAAGTACCTCTCCTAAGCATCCCATGAGACAGGTTCTGTGGGTGGCACCATTCTACAGAGGAAGAAACCGAGGCACGGGAAGGATGAATGGATTACCCAAGGTCACAAAGCAAACATGAGGTGGCTGGGGACTTCACTGCAGGCAGTTTAGCTCCAGAATCCACATTCCCAATCATGAGCTCTGCCATTTGTCAGAGCTGAGGATCTCAACTTTTTGAGGTAGATCTGGGCCCAGGGAGCAGTCTCGTGGGGATGGTTACCACCAAAGCTGTGCCCCGAATGCCTGTATTCCATCAGGACACCACAAAGGGGAGCACAGCCAGAACCCACAGACCCTGGCCTCCTGGGGGGCAGCAGATGCTTGACAGAGCCTGGAAGCAGTTACCGACCCAATGCTCTGTGTGTCCAGCCCTGAGACTTGCTCAGAGTCAGGTAGTTTCATAGCAGCTTTAACTGCAGAGGAAGGAAAAACAAAGGCTTTCAAGGGTAAGGCAACTGTCCCCTGGTCAGTGTATTCATATGCTAGGGCTGCATAACAAAGCACCACAACGGAGGTTGGCTTAGAACAACAGAAATCTAGAGGCCGGACATCCAAGGTCAAGGTGTCAGCAGGACTGTGCTTCCTCTGAAGGTGCTTGGGAGGGATCTGTTCTGGGATTCTCTCCTGGCATCTGACAGTTCTTTGGTTTGTGGGAGCATAACTACAAACTTCACCTGGCATATTTCCTGTGTGTGTGCCTCTGGGTCCAAACT